TCTGATATTGATCCATGAAGCAATGTCCTTTCTTCTCAATGTGTGTAGTGCAGGTTGGTGCTGTCTGGACAGTTATTTGGCAGAGCAGCTTGGCCACCCAGTAATAGGAACCAGCCTGAGTTTCATTACGTTGATATCAACAGAATGAAAACTGTACAGGCAATCAGCTCCGCCAGAACACAGACAATGAAGACATTCACTCTGTGATCTCAAACCGTCTTATTCCTCCTAAACAATAAAGGTGGAATTTAATGAGGCCATTGAGAATGGGAACCATGGCGGGTCGGGTAACAACCCACTGTTGGGAGGCTGAGGTTATGTTTAAGGGATTAAGGCTTTTCAGCAACAAAGCTCATGACACACAGCAGCCAGTGGTCAGAACTTCATTTCCCTGCATTTGTATGTCATGAATAACAATTGCAATCATTAAATCACAATTCTTCCAAATCAAGTTAGGCCTTCAAGATTAATCAGTGAACATACAGGAAACTTGTGCCACTTCGTTTTCATTTGGTTAAAAGGAAGTGCAACAAGCAAAGGGATTTATGGGAATCATACAGGAGCAGTTATCTTTGCTGAACACTGAGGAAGAGGGGAGGAGAGGAGGGGAGCAGGGAAACGTTCATATAGCTGGACTTGTCAGGAGCGGCACAGACAAGACATGGTGGCCAGGGTAGGGTCCCATATAGTGATGTGACTGGAGGACAGAGGCAGGGAGTGATGGATCCCAGGAAATGATGTAGAGTTATGGGGGAACGATGAGGATGAAAAATTGTGACTTGCACAAGAGAGATGACGAGGGCTTCCAGACTACCACTGAAATCTAGCAAATCACTACAGTTACCCAGTTGAGAGTTCAGCCACTTTCTGACCACCCCTGGCCTGCGATCACTCATGACCCACATGACTGCCCTCCTGCCCTTTAATATTATCATTAAATCCTCCCATTCAATTGGAAGTGGCTGCACATTTCCACCGACATGATCTGCACCTTACGGATTAAATTCCACCTACAACTGTTTACAAAATTACATTTTTTAAAAAGCTGTGACAGTTCCATTTCAACACTTAAGAGTCATTAACTAGCTGAGAATACAATACAGTGTCTCTTACCTGAAAGCCCCCCAGGGGCCATATAATTAGATCCCCCAGTTTCAGTTGAGGGAGGCACAGAGTCTGGTGAGTCTGCTATTAGAAATAAAAAAGGAAAAGCAAATGTTGAAATATTTCAGGACATATTTTTCTAGTGTCATTTGAATCAGTAAGCCCAAGCATCACATTTAATTACTTTCTCTCCATTGCTAAAAAGCTTATTGACAGTCACTGACACAGATTCTCATATAAAGAATAAGATCATGAAAGAACGGGTTGGAGGGAAATGGGCCAAGCACAGGCAGGTGGGACTAGTTTAGTTTGGGACCATGGTCAGTGTGGACTCGTTGGACCGAAGGGTCTGTTTCCATGCTGTACAACCCGTTAATTCTATGACTAGGAATGGACTTGGGAAACTTGTTCACCTAAGGATTTACAGATAAATATTTTCAGATCCCAACTTCCTTTGTTCCTACCTTCAGCAGGGCCAAAAACCCATAATAATTCCTGGAGGAGTCTAACTGCCATTTGATTGCTGCATCCTTCTGACTCATTGTCTGATTCAGAAACTCAGCAGATAAGCAATCAGAAAGTCACACAGGGTATATGCAGCAGACACACAGTCACTGAGTTACAGTTGCATAGTTTATTAGGGTGATTGCGGAGAGGGAAACACAACCAAAAGCTCACACAGTCTGGGTTACAGTGCCAATTATTGAATAGCTGTTTGAATAAACATGCGGTGAACTTAACACAAAAATCCATCCAGCTCTCAGAGGGTTAACCTTCATTTTCCTGTTCTAACAGCCATTTTTGACTAAGCTGATGAAAGCCATCTCCTAAAAAGCTTCAGCCTTGTTTTCATGCCACAGTTCCACATTAAGAGCTGAACAGTGACGGAGCAATGTGGATCCATTTTCTTTGGCTCTTCTCCAAGCTATCTCCATTTCCCAGCCAGCCACGCTGAAATACCTCAAATACTAAAACCTAGAGGCTTTGAGAAGCCCAACCCCTGATAAAGACTAGGTACAATTACAATGTGTCTCTCTTTCTTTAAAGTCTCTTGCTTCAGAACAGGGCATTAAAATGCTGTGGTGAACCTGTTCAGACTTCAACTAAAATGCCTGTCAACAGATCTGCACAAAAACTACCTTTAACCCACATCAGTCTCCGGCTGCCCTAGCTCCAAATTCCACTGAGCTCATATCACAAGAAATTTTTCAAAGTCAGCCTCTGATATTTTACAGCCAGGGATATCTCATAACCAACACGGGGCCTTTCTAACCTGTAAACAAGGCAAATTTCAAAGAATGGCTTGTGTAAAGTAACATTATTACCTGAGCCATTCAGGCAAGCTCTGCTCCTAAGGCAGCCTAGGCCAAACTATTAATGCTCATCAGAGGAGAATTTATTTTCTTTACCACATTGGCCCTAGGATTTTTTAAAAATCTGTTTTGTCTCTCTGTCTTTCCCAGGAGCTAACATGGTTGCTGAAGGGTGGAGGTCAAAATGCTATACTGTAACATGACTGTATGAGATGGGTTCAGCAGAACAGCTAGCTGTTTCGAGTCTGACATTTTCATACATTTATAAGCCCACAAGGGTATCTGCTACTATTCCATTTTAGCATTGTACAATATTGGATTTTGTTTTCATCCCACCCTAAAGGCACGTGTTCAAGCTGGGACGCAGTTCCTCAGGTACCAGAAGCCCTCTGGAATGTCCACCTATTATATGAGCCCAAATGTTTGAGATTGGCTGATCTATTTTCTTTGGTGTGGGAGGTGTTAGAATTGTAGACAATGTCTGATCGTGTTCTCACTTAATAAACTGCATGCATGCAAGAATTACCAGAGAGTGACAAAGACGATCCCTCCCTGATGTACATCAGTAGGAGCACCTTCAACACCATGTCTGATAATTGGGAAGATGACAGTGGATTTTTCTGCTTTGTGTGACTTAGTTCCTCACATCCATATTTTACCTTCCCATTGTTTAGAATCCTTCAAAAATAAATATTATTTCATGCCGTGAGCAAATTAAGTTCTAAGTGCCCAAGTGTTGTACAACAACACAGGCTTCCTTGGGGTTGGAGCTCAGCCACACTGACTGGTCAGACTGGCTGGCAGAGGACTGTAACAAAAAACAAAACTCATGTTGCCAATGCCGATTGTTTGATTAATTACATTCTTATTTATGGCCCAAGCATTGAAATTTGATTTTTTAAAAATAAAAACACGTTGCTAACATTGACAAGCAGGTAGACAGAAGTGGGATTTACACTTCTGTTTGTTTTCACTCCAAACCAGAAGGAAAGCCTTTCTGCAGCTTCCAAATGCTAAACTCGGTATTACTTCCTCGAAAGTGACTGGGCTTTCCCTTCCATCAGTGCAGCTTCAGATTGTGGCTTTCTGTTTACATACATAATGTTAACCTTTATGTCAACACCTCACAGGAAGTTGTTGCACTCAACTAATGGGACACATCAGGTGCAGAAGTTGCTGTACGTCTAATTTACTTGGGGGCCCAAATTGTTTAGCTAAACCTCAGCTTTGTACAAGCTGCCGCCTGAAGCCCCAAACCCCAATCCCCACCCCATACAATGCCCTAGGTTGGATTCTGTGACAGCTGACCAAAACACCATTTCATTTGTTAATATATTTATAGTTTTTAATCACTTGCCAAATTTTCCAGTGATTCCTTTTCCGTCGGGGCAGAAATCTGATTGGTTGCAAGTAGATACACTCCACAAGACCAGGCTCGGGGAGTGAATGCAAACAACACTTGCTTATATCAGGAAACACATGCTTGGTTTTATAATGTTCCTTTGCTTCATGCACATCTTGGTCCCACAGCTGTAGTAATCCACAAGAATGCTCCTACCAGTCTTCTTTCCACTCACAAAACATCTACAAGCCGAAGTTAGAATCCTTAAAATACCAGTTCTATTGGAGAAGCTAATGGGGTATCTTTATGAATGGTAAGAAGTAGACCGATCGGCCCCTTCAGCCTATTCAAATGAACCATGTCTCAGCAGTATTAACTTTGCTACTCTCCGAAAATCCATAGCCTTTAATGCCTTTCAACTGGGATGGCAATGGTAAAACTAAAGACTTGGTTTCTCCAACTTGATTAGGGAGCGATAAACAGAGTCAACCAAAACTCCTGCTGCATCTCCCTGCTGGAAATGGTGCACACAGGCGTTGGATGTGAGCCTTGTTTCAGCTTAGCTATAGTGCCCCAACAGTCAAACAGCTTACTAACACTTCCTAGGTTCACAAATGAAAAAGGTATATTATCTAGCCATGCAGGTGCTTTGTATCTGAGCTTGAGGGATGATGACAATACTTTAAACCATACTGAACCACTAATAGAATCAAAATTAATTTAAAGGACTGTTAAATTTCTTCCCTGCTCCTTAAATCAAAAGTTTATTGTTGATAATCCAATAGCATTTTCACACAGAAATCAATTTTGAACCATTACTTCTTCACATCCGAGGGTAAATTCCCAGTACGAATGCCACACAATCTATGCATAATCCCTCAATGGACTGCTAGGTCCTCATCTCACATAAGAAAATAAAAATATATGAACAAACATTACAATTTACAGAGCCTCATGTGACAGGAGCACATGCAAGGAACTTGAACATGAAGGTCAGTGGCAATTTGTAGCTGGTATGAATTTCTGCGCATAGGTGTGAAATTCCTCAGGTCAGTAAGAACTTTGTTGCAAGTCAGCTCAAGAGCTGAAGAAAATTGGACAGGGAAATTAGGTTTGTCTCCAGCAGTACAAGCAAGCAGTCATATCTCATGGAATTACACATCAACCCATCCAGAACCTTTAGAAGAAGTACGTAAAGAAAAAGAAGGGGGTATGGATCTGTGGCCGCACACTGGACTTTATTGGAAAAGGAATCATGCATCAATGGTACTATATAAATTCTTACATTGATACAGCACATTCTACCTCAGGAAATCTCAGATCATTTTCCAAAAAATCCTTATAAGTACAAACACTGTTGTCACATAGGAAACATGTCATGTCCACAGCATGATCCCACAAAAATTAATGAGATCATGACCAGATAATCTATTTCAGTGGCGACAGTCAAGGATTAGATATTGGCCGTGGCATTGAGAACTCCCTTACTCTTTGACATAGCCCTATGGTTAACTGTCTCAAGTAAAGATGGTACACCCAATAGTGCAGTACTCCCTCAGCACTGCACCGAAGTGTCTATCTGGATCTTTGTGCTAAAGTCTCTATAGTCAAACTTAAACCCATAATGTCTGTCTCAAACGTGAAAGTACTATACTGCCAACTTAAAATAAATTTCTCTGTCTAAAACATTTAGTAACACAATTCCACAGATACTCTTCTCAGCTCACCTTACACAAAGCCAACTTTCCTGCCTCTTTTATTGAAGACTAGTGTCTACAACCAGAAGGTTTACTTTAGACGGTCACCTAATTTGCAGATTGCAAACAGTTAGCAGACATTGCCATACTCTACTCAGTGCTATATGACAACAGGACTTGTGTAAAAATGTCACTGCAGTACGTCAAGTCCAACCTCTAAAGGAAGAAACTTGTGTAAAGGAATTGTACTGACAATGCAATGTTCCTTTCAACATGAAAGTCTACAGAGTAGACATTATCCTTTTCATGTCATGGTAACAGTTGGGAGCTGGGTATGGTTGAAGACGTGGTCAATTCCACGTACACACAAATAGCCAGGCAGATATGAAGTGTGAGTCACACAGCCTTTCCTGAAGAGGTATTCTATTTTCATGCATCCTAAAGAATAGCTTAGAGTGGCACTAACAGGTCACACCCAAGGGATATTGTCCAACTCTTGGAGATCATAAAGAAGAATGGTCTCTTTGAGATGGAAACATCAGAATTGTACTTCCAATAGTTCACTACACTCATCTACACACACTACAGTCTGTAATGTCTGAGTTTCAGCATTTTTATATTTATGCTGCTGAAGATTAACTCACATCCAATGATACCATTGTAGTCACAGGTGATTCTAAGCTGGAACTCACATTAGCTAGACCACCACTCTCCAGGGGGAGAATCCAAGCCTCTGGTAAGCACAATTATTTTTGAACTGCAAGGTATTTGTTACAAGACAAAAATTAAAGTGTGCTGCCCTGTGTGTGGTACCGAGTCACGCAGAAGTGGTTTTCAATCTTGATTCCCCCATATGTATTGAGTTAGTTTATGCAAGTTGATATTATAGTGAGACCGTGCAATTGACCTCAGTGGTTATGAGCTAGATGGGGGGCAACTAGGCACAATTCCAACTACTTACTATTCAACCAACATCATGATGATCTGGTCATTAACATATGATCAGCATGGAGCTTGCTGTGTGCAAATAGGTTGACATATTGTAACAGTAATTACACACAATCATTGGTTGTAGAGTGCTCTGAACTTACAAAAAGTGCTTTCTTTCCTTCACTGTATCACTTTCCCACTGATTTCTATTGGAAAGTGAGAGAAATGGGTGAGAGAGGTTAACACCAAGTTGATCAGTCACAGGATCCTCTGCATCAAATAGATGGCTAATCATCAGTGTTTTAAGCTCCTAAAAAACACTATCATATGGAAAAGGCCCTGCAATGTGGCAAGCGGGCAGCTATGCGGAAAACCCCAAGAATTTGGTGACAACTTTTTCACTGGCTCAAGAATTCCTAATAATCTAAATAATCAAAATTTCCATATATTTAAATACACAACAATTTCATAGCAATTTGTGTGGAAACTAAACATGTTATGTCTTGTCATGAGTTACATATGGAGGTGTATTTATTACTCTAATTGTACCATGTGAAAATTCTAACATTCATCAAAAACTGAAAAACCAGCCGAAATTTCCCCTAGAGGATCAACTTTCTAGCTATGCCCCACATCAGTTATGAATCATGCTCCTTTCCTGATGGAAGCTGCTATCAACTTTCCTGTCTTCAAGGTTTGACTCATTGGAAATACCTTTCAAAATGTAAAAATCAAATATTTTAGAGCTCACAAAAAAAACACAACTTTTCCCCTCTACACAAGTAGTAAAATGTTTTAAGCAGATGAGGAGGCAGGGTGGAAAGTTTTAAGGAAATTGTTTTCAATTTACATGGAAAAACAACTGGATTACAATTCGAAAAATAACACGAAAACACCACTTTACTTACCAGGCTGCTTAAATGAGTCCATTGGAAATCTAGAATAGGGAGGCGGGGGTGACTCTGAAAACATAAAAAGAGAGAAAAAAAGTCAAAGCCATGAGAAAAGAGATAGAAACTGATGATAACGCTGGCAGGAGAGCCGGCATTCTTTCGCAAACTATTTGTCTTAGCTCTGGGGGCTGGAGGCAGCGCAGCAAAGGCGGCGATTGCCTTGATAGTTAACAGTCACATAAACAAAAGAGTCAGCCTGGCGCCAGTCTCACTGATATGCAACTTGTGTGTCTAATCGCCCCTCCTTGGCTCACGTAAACCACTTCTGCTCTGGAAATTACACTGAATCAGTCTGGCTGAGGATCTGACCGCGCCATCTAACTGGAAAATCACCCATTTACCGCGGCGACAAGCCTTCTAGACAAACTTTTTTCTTCTTTCCCCAAAAGAACTTTTAGCTACTTGATTGATACATCTGACAGGCTTTATCGGGTGTTTACTCCTGCTCCCTTTTAACAGGAATGTGAATTTAAACAACAAACTTTTGATGTTCAGACAATTCCCAGAAACATTTCGATGGAATGAAATTTTTTTTTAAATCTGTATTTTCTCGCCCCCCCACCCCCGTTCTCGATCTAACTCAAGTTTCAATTCAGATCATAATCTTGAATGAAAATCTATGCAAATATAGAGAAGTAATTATTATTAGGCAACACTTGAATTGACGGCATAATTACACAGTTGAGTAGGGAGAATACAGTTCAGTAATGTTTGGATTGATAGGCAGTTTCAAATCAGCGCATGTTCTTTATTAGTAACTCTGACCCTGAATAAGTATGGAATAAAATTCAGTTGTAAACCGGATCGTTTAGAGTTAATGTTAATCCAGGATCAAATTCGAATTTTAGCAGAGAATGTTGCGACATAACCACAGTTTTGCTCTCAAAAAGCAATTTATTCATGAAATAGCATGATGAAACTTCTAGATGAAATCTACTATGGTGAGTTTTTTTTTAAAATGTAAGATTCACGGAGTTCTTATATGAAAAAAAAGGGACACCTTTCAGGATGTGAATAAAGCGAGGGCCGGTTAAATTTGCAGAAGAATTTCAGGCAGGATCTCTGGATGTTTAAAAATGTCCACTTTATTGTAAATCCTAGTGGGACTTTTATTAGAAATGGAGGCGCCGAGGTGGCCCAGGTAGACTGCAACAGCCAGAAGTCACAAAACTCGGGTTTTCCAAAAAAAAAGTACTTTCAGTTATTGTCCGTTCAAAAAGAAGCATTCAGATCATTGAGAGAGACCTTACCGAGTTCACAGAGTCTGCTAAGGTGGTGCGGGTTACAACAGACGGAATCCGGGTTATTCGTTCCGTACGATTGACAGCAATAAAGTCTTTTCAGTTCGGAAGAGTTCCTCAGGTCAGCCCAGCGGAAGACTTTGCAGATCAGTACCGGCAAGGAGTAAGTTTGTTTGCTTAGTTTGGGCTCAATCATCTTGGGCAAAAGGAGGCATCCAGTGCGAGCTCCCCCTTTACTCTCCACAGATTGCAGTAATAATTCCAACTGTTTCTCTTTCAGCTTCCTCAGCAGCGAGTGCGTGAGGGCTTTTAACTCGGGGTCCGAGGTGCTCGCTTTGGATGCTTTAGCCCCGCAGCATCCCCCGGCTCCGCCGCCGCTGCTACTGCCTCCGTCACCTCCACCTCCCCCCCCTCCTCTTCCCCCTCCTCGGCTTGCATCGCCCTCTTTATCCGTCTGGCCGTCTGCTTCTCCCAATGCACGGCTTCGCCAAAGTCGCCGCACCAGACCCGATCGTTTCGTCCTGAACATACGAGACGACGATCCGCCAGAGAGAAATTCGCTAAAACCCAGCCAGGTACAGAAAAAACATATCCGCAAAACATGAATCCAGCCTGTTCTTGATGGCAACAACACAGTAACAGCCGCACAAATCTGTAGCATACGCCAGCCCCTTATCTTTAGGCAGGTTAAAAAATAAAAGATCCGGTTAAATTGGTTTTAACAATACTGCAATTAAATACGGGGGGATGGGTCACAGATACAATCATGCATTGTAACCCACCGGCATAAAGTAGGGAAAATGTAGCCAAGAATATGCATCCATTAAAATGTAACCCAAGCGTTCGCTTCTTGTTCCTTCCTTGGCTTTTTTGGGGCCACAGTTTAATCCAAGCCCTTAATCCGGCGATTCTGATGATTGTCGAGATAGCTCTCTTCCTTCGTTTTCCCTTCTTCCTTTCAGCGGTTATAGATACACATGCAGTGTCTCTAATCCGTTCCAGTCTCCTCTCTTTCTTTCTCTTTGCTTTGACTTGTACGTGCGTCTGTTTGTCTGTCTCTCTTTCCCAGCTGCCTTTCACTAACTTAATACCTCTCTCCAACAATATTTTTTTTTTTAAAAAATACAGCGATTTATAAGGGAGGGGGTGAGGAAAAAGAAAATTAAAAAAACCAAGAAAAAGTTGTCTCCGTTTGCAGTTCTGCTTGTGGATTTCCTGAGTGCTCCGGACTCCGGGCTGAAACTGACACAAGGCTTGAAATTTACAAGCTCTTGCTTTGGCTGCGCATTGGCGCGGTCGATCACGTGTGTGTCTAGACACTTTGTCGCGGCCCCCGGTTTAAAGTGATTGTTACGCAAACAAGCGATCGCATTACGAACAGCCCCTTTTACTTAGAAACCACTAGCCCCCAACCCCCAAAACACATACAACAAACTACAGGCAGCATTCAACCACTTCATCACGGTAACAATGCACACTATCAATTTTCTTTTTGTTTGTTTTTTTGGGGGGTGGTGGGGGTTGCCGTGTGATGGGAGAGAAAATCAGTCGGGAAATTCTGGGAACTGCAACTTGCTCCATCCAGATTCTCGTATGAACATTCCTGACATTTGTTTTTCTCTCAGCTTTGCCTCCCCTGTCAAAGCAGCACAGAAACAGGTAAACGGGCTCTTCAAGCAAGACTGCCTTGTGGAGGCTATTGCAGGGCGATATTGATGCACGGAGAGACAGAGAAGTGGGATAGATCTGTGTCGAATTTCTAGGGCTGTCTTGAAGGTTTGAAACTATTGATCTTACTGCAATTCCATAGATCAACGAGAATAATTTCCACCTTTTAATGCTTTTCAAGGCTGCAAAATAAGTCTCATGTTTGCCAATTGACATCTAAGTTCCCTGGGTAGTAGGGAAGGCAAATGAACTATTGGCTTTTATTTCAAAGAGAATGGAGGTCCTATTGAAATAAACAAGGTACTAGTCAGACCACAGCTGGAATACTATGAACAGTTTTGGTCCCTTATCTAAGAAAGATAAACTGGCATTGGAGGCAGTGCAGAGAAGGTTCTCTAGGTAGAATCAGGTATGGGTGGATTTTGACATGAGAAGTTGAATAGGTTGGGCTTGTATTCTTTAAATCTTAGAAGAATGAGAAGAGACCTTTTCAAACCATCTAAGATTCTTAGGGGGCTTGACAGGGTTGATGTGGAGAAGTCCTTTCTGGGAGAGTCTAGAACCAGAGGACATAATCTCAGAGGACATAAATGTCATCAATTTAAAACCAAAATGATGACTTTTGTTTTTTCTCAGATGGTGGTGGTTCTCTGGAATTCTTTATTGCACAAGATGGTTCATTGAGTATATTCAAACCTGAGACAGATTTTTAATCAGTAAGGGATTCGAGAGTTATGAGAAAAAGGCAGAAGAATGGAGTTGAGGATTATCAGATTAGCTGTGATCACATTAAATGGTGGAGCAGTCTCAATGGGTCGAATGGCCTACTTCTGGTGTAGATCTTAAAGTGTTATTCTTATGATAGGATCCAAGATATTTCAATTAATTGGTTGATCTTCATACAGAAGCCAACAACAATTTGAATTTGTGTTACACCATTGAACTTCTCTTCTCCCAAAGGGAGGAGTTACTGTGCATTCAAGACTGTATGCCAGCTAAGCAGAGTAGGGGCATTAGTTGTGGGCCACTTAGCTGTTCGATGATATTCGGCTGTTCAATGTTATCATAGTCATGAGACTAGTCTACCCCATTTCCATTAATCCCTTTGGTCAATAAATCCCTATCATTTTTAGATTTAACATTAATTATTGACCTAGCATCAATTATCATTTGTGTAAGAGAGTTCCACAAACTTTGACCATCCTTTATGCAGAGACCAGTTTCATAACTTCACTCCTCAAACTCTTTCTAATTTCTAGACTCCCACCAGCAGGAATAGTTTTTTTCTGTTTTATCCTATCTAATCCTGTAACATCTTGGAAGCTTCAGTGAAGCCATAAATCTTCAACAATCCAGGAAATACAACACTAATAAGAAACACAGAGAATGCTGGAGAAACTCGGCAGGTCCGGGAGCATCTGGGCAGAAAGAAATTGAGTTCATGTTTTGAATCCGCTATGATAGTTCTTCAGAAATACAACTCTAGTTTGTTTAATTTCTCCCTGTAGCTGAACTGTTGGAGACCAAGCAACATTCCAATAAACCTAGATGGCAATCCTTCCAAGGCCAATAGAGTCTTTGAACATGGAATAGCATGTACAGCATGGAAACAGACCCTTCAGTCCAACTCATCCAGACCGAGCAGATATCCTAAATTAATCTGGTCCCTTTTGCCAACATTTTGCCCATCTGAGCCCTTCCTATTCATACCCATCCAGATGCCTTTTAAATGTTGTAATTATACCAGATCCTTGCTAAGGCATAGTGTCCAAACTGATGCTGTGCCACACTATTTGTATGGTTGAAGAATGACTCCAAGCACCCCATATTCAAAGCGTCTAGGTTTAAAGGCCAGCATTCCTTTAGCCTTTTTCATACCTGCCCATGATACTTTAATGATTTGTGGATAAAACAAAGAACTGAGGATGCTGGAGATATGAAACATGCAGAAACAGAAATTGCTGGAGAAACTCAGCAAGGCTGTAAACTGTTCTGAAGAAGGATCACTCGACTGGATTCATTAACTCTGTTTCTCTCTCCACAGATGCTGCCAGACCTGCTGAGTTTCTCCAGCAATGTTTGTTTTTGTGTGTTAATAATCTGTGTAGCTGGACCCTCAAGTCTCTCCAAAGCTTTATTGTTTCGAGTATTTTGATCTCTTTTTAGGTCAATATCAGATTACTTCACATTTTTCTACTTGCATGTTCTTGTACTATCTACAAGAAGCACGGCAGAAAGTCACCAAAGATTCTTTGACAGTACTTTCCAAGCCCAGAACCACTTACATCGAAAAGGACAAAAGGCAGCAGATACATGGGAACACCACCACCTACGAGTTCCCCTCCAAGCCACTAACCATCCTGACTTGGAAATATATCATTGTTCATTCACTATCGATGGGTCAAAATCCTGAATCCCCTCCCCAAGAGCATTGTGGGTCTACCTACATCACATGGACTGCAGCAGTTCAAAAAGCAACTCACCACCACCTTCTCAAGGGCAACTAGGGATGGGCAAGAAATGCTGGCCAAGTCAGCGACACCCAGGTCCCACGAGTGATTTAAAAAAAAGGTGTTGAGTTCAGCATCAAGTGACAGTTTGCTGGTGATCATGGAGGTTAGATACCTGAAGCTATTAACAACCTTCAATTTCACAGTGTCAATGTTGTTGGCTGAAAAACTATCCTGGACTATGCCATTTGTCTCACAAAAACAGAAGTTGCTGGAAAAGCTCAGCAGGTCCAGCAGCATCTGTGAAGAATAAAATCAGAGTTAACGCTTTGGGTCTGGTGACCCTTCCTCAGGACTGAGGAAGTTCTGAAGAAGGGTCCTGACCCGAAACGTCAACTTTCCTGCTCCTCTGATGCTGCCTGGCCTGCTGTGTTCCTCCAGCTCCACACTGAATAGCTTTAGGTCATTTTTTGTACCTTTAACATGGAAATCACCCAATGTTCTTAACAGGGATGTCATCAAAGAAAATTTAACACCAAGCCATGTAAGGAGATATTAACAAGGATGAAAGAAGCAGCTTTAAGGAGCATCTTAAAGAGAGGAAAGATAAGGAGACAGAGCTTAGAGCCTAAAGAGCTGACATCACAGCTGTAAAGAAAATTAGGGTATGAACAAGGTCAGAATTAGAGGAGGAAGACTTGGAGAAATAGAGATGCTTAACATGATCCTGGTCTAAATTACAAGACTTTAAATGAAAACAAAAAGAAGATTACGGGCTAATTTAGATCGTTGTGTCCCGGTATGATGAATGTCTTTCACAATACTGAATGCATTGTGACCATCTTGCTAAGAGCAGGTCAAGCTATGAATTGTAACCCTCTACAATCTGTGTGGTGACAGAGAGACCCAGGGGTTCATGAAAAACTAAAGAAGACTTGCTCAGTGTCACAGTGAGCAAACTGTTAGCACATAGTTAGGCTGACTAAATACAATACTAACAATATTATTCTCTACCTTATGCAAATCCTTGGTGTGGCCACATTTAGAATACTATACCCACTATTTGGTTCTTGCACATGGTGAGTAATATTAAGTAATATTAATCACATGCAGCTTGATTGATTGGCCTTGGAGTTGGAAAAGAATTTCCAACTTTTTTCCCCCTAAATTGATTAAAGTGTTTTTTATCCTGAATTTTGCCATTGGAAAAGTAAGTTGGTAATGAATGCAGACTATGCATGTCTGGATAGGACTGGATGTATAGATTGAATGCTCTTGTTAGGTCAACTGTTTCAGATGTACAGTGTAAGATAGTTTACTTCACTTATGGACAAATCATGGTAAAGCTGAGAGTATGTCATGTGGGACATTGGCTTAGAAAATTAGAGAAAAGTTCACTTTTTCTAGTATTGATATCCTTTATTTTAATGAGGACAAAACCCACCGCTATGAATTGAGCATTTAATATGCATAAGAGAACAATGTAGCAGCAATCCAAAGTGGGATACAACAGAACTGCTTCAGTCCATGGATTACCTAGGTAGTCTGATAAATGGATGGTATGGAGAGTGGTGGGGTTGATTAGGACATAGAACATAGAACAGTACAGCACAGTACAGGCCCTTTGGCCCACGATGTCATGCCGACCTATTATCCTACTAAGATCAATCTACACTGCATACCCTACATTTTACTATCCTCCATGTGCTTGTCCAAGAGTCGTTTAAAAGTCTCTAAAGTATCTGACTCCACTACCACTGCCGGCAGTGCATTCCACACAACCACCACTCTCTGTGTGAAGAACTTACCTCTGACATCTCCCCTATACCTTCCTCCAATCACCTTAAAATTATGCCCCCTTGTAATAGTCATTTCCGCCCTGGGAAAAAGTATCTGACTATCTACTCTATCTATGCCTCTCATCATCTTGTAAACCTCTATCAATTCACCTCTCATCCTTCTTCGCTCCAATGAAAAAAGCCCTAGCTCCCTAGGGGCCAAGGTGGAAACCCACATTTGAAGGAAAGACCGTGGTAGGAGGAGTACCATTTCAGCATTTCACATCTTTCATAAACAAAGAACAGGATGTTACCAAAGTCTAAGTTAAACAGCAAGTATGCTCTAAACTGATAAAGTGAAGACATAGAAAGACTGAGTGCACTTATTAACAACAACTTATGCTTCTGTCACATAATTACTATCATAAAACCTCCCCACGCACTTCACAAGACCATTATAAAATAAAATATGGCACCGAGCCACTTAAGAGAATATTAGATCAGACAATCAAATAATGCAGCAATTAAAATTGGAGATTCTCAACGAGTCAGAATTTAATGATCAAAGATATCTTGAGAGTGTAGAGCTTGAGAGAATTACAGAGATAGGACAGAGTGAGGCAATGGAAAGATAATAATTGTAACATCAAGCGATTGCTTGACCAGGAGCCAGTGTAAGTTGGTTATCACCTCTTGGTAATAGGCTGTTGGGACTTGGTTTAAGTTAAGACATGGATAGCAGTGTATTAGTTGACCTGAAGTTGACAAAGGCTAGAAGATGAGAGACCAACCAGGACTGCATTAGAATAGTCAAATCTAGAGTTAAGAAAAGTATGAATGAAAGTTTCAGCATCAGTAAACTGAGACAGGACAGTGTCAAACAATGTTGCAGAAAGAGAAATAGGCAGTCTCAGTATTGATGTGAATATGTAATTGAAAGTTGATCTTGGGGTCAAGTTTGACACCAAAAGTGTGAACAGATTGATTTAGCCTGAGATTGTGGTGAAGGAGAGGGAATGAGTGGGGAATTGGGAATGGGGATCAAAAATAATGATTTCAGTCTTCCCAGTATTTAAACTGGAGAGAATTCTGCGTATCCCGTACTGAAGTATTAGATAAGCAGTCTGATAATTTAGCAACAGGAGAAGAGCTGGAAGAGGTGGTGGCAGCATAGAGCTGAGTGTCATCACTTACACGTGAAAGCTAATAACGTGCTTTCAGATGATGTTACAAACAGACAGCATGTAATGAGAAATAGAAGTGAGCCAAGGGCACTGGGGGAAAAGAGGGAATGGCGCAGTAGCAGTAAAATAAGTCATTTCCAATTATCTGTTGGCTTCAATAAGATTGATAAGAATGTAACCAAGTGAAGTAATTCCACCTAACTAAATATCAGTGGAGAGCTGTTTTAGGAGGGTGATGTAGTCATTGGACCAAGAAGAATGGTTTACCTTTGTCATAGACATATGAAATGTAATTTGCAACTTTAATTAGAACTGTTTCAGTACTGTGGCGGAGACTGAAACCTAACAGGAAGAATTCAAACTTGGAATTTCAGGAAAGTTTGGTTTGCCAGGGTAATAGTTTTAAGGGTTGGGCTTCTTTTGAGGAGAGGGTTGTTAAGGATAGATTTTAAAGGTGTGAGGAGTAGTGCCCGAATGGAGGAAACTGTTAATAATGTTGTCTAACATACGGATTAAGAGGGAAATTGGGTGATCCACAGTTTAATGGGAAATATGATGATGGGCGCAGAAATAGATATAGTGGACAAGATGAGCTTGGACAAGGCATTGAGGAGAAGACAGGAGAGAAACTAGAGAAAGATGTGCGTTCAGGGCTAGCGCAGGAGGTGAAATTAAATAATGTTTGGCCTGGTGGACTCAATGAAGGGCAACGGGTAGAGCTGATAAGATGGTCTCAATCTTAGTGACAAAAAAAACACAAGTTCCTGGCATTTATTGTTGGAAGTGAAAATGGAGGAAAGACAACCTGGTGTCGTGTGATTTCTGACCTTGTCAACCCCAGTCCAACACTGGCACCTCCACATCAACTCAGGTAAGTAAACAGAACAATTAAAGATAGCAAGATCGGCAGATGCGGAGTCAGAGTCAATACAGTATGGAGCTGGAGGAGCACAGCAGGTCAGGCAGCATCAGAGGAGCAGGAAAGGTGACGTTTCGGGTTTACACCCTTCATCAGGACAAATTTGTTTAATCAATGTCACTGAGGCTTAACAACTCAACGCAGCACAATTAGAAATGTTTGGAAATGCATTCAGTTTCCTGAGGGCTAGTTATCTCCAGATTGAAATTCATTCCCTACACCACCCCACCCGACTTTCATTGAGGAGATAGCTTGTTTCGTAGAATGGTTCCAGATGCAACAATAGTTTTTTTGCATTGTTTTTCAAAATATATACTTATTATTATTATACTTAATTAGAAGTTAAATTCATTATTTACATTTCTGTTTTATGACAAACATTCTGTGCTGCGTACAGCTCGAAAGGTTTTCCACAGGTTCCAGCTTCCCGGTGATAAATAAGGCTTCTGGCAGCTGCCCCATGCCTTAGTGCATCGCTCAGCTCATACTGGGAACATTCCAAGGTCTAGCCCTGTAACACTTGATACTGGACAGGTCTTTTCACTGGGAGGCCAGCATGTTTCAGGCAGTCCAAAGAGCATCTTGCACTGCATCGATAACTCTTCAACATGCAATTCTAGGCACTGAATTCAGCCAAGCAAGGGGACAAGCTGAGCCTAAACCTGGCCTCACTTCATACCAACATGATCACACTGAGGTAAGATTAGGTCAAAGCAGGACTTTCAGTACTGACCCATTGAATATTAATTAATCAACCAGACTGGGGGCCTCCTAGTTTTGTTTTAGTCCCTCTCAGCTCTCATCTTTTCTTGAAAATACCTTCACCATTTTTAGGCAAAGTTCAATTTGCAGCGTTACAGGACCTCTGCCAAATGGGGACTCTTTGCACTGGCAGCCTGTTCAAATGGGAAGGGTGCTATATTGAGCACATCCTTTTTCTCTCCCCATCTATCAATATGTATGTTGTCCAGACCCCGGATAATAATCAGAAAAATGATTGGACTTGCCAAAGGGCAACCTAGCTACCATCCGGCCAATATTGTAGAGTCCCAGTATTTCTGATGCATCAGTCACCAAATCTGCATGACACAGTAGCACAACAGAACACAGACATTGAACAGAACCCATTGGTCTTTTGGCTTGTATCACTCTTCAACAACAATTTGTATTTATCCAGCACCTTAGTCAAATTAACACAACCAAGGTGCTTCCCAGGAGTGTTATCATGGCAAATATGATGCTGATATGACAAGGGTCATATTGTTTACCCACTGAACTGCTATCAAAGGAATCCAACTGACTGTCAATGACACAAAGTGGCAGAAGCACTTCTACACTGAAAGGAAAGCAAACTACTGTGGGGGCCTGACCTGAAAATGGAGGGCTGGATTTTACACACACTCTGCTGATGGAGGATACTTGTTCAATCCAGCAGGTGGCTTGCCCTCTGGCTACTAATCCAACCCTGCCCCAACGTGCTGGGAATGGCATTGGGTGGCCCATCTGCAAATGTGCAACTTGAGGCCCTTAAGTGGGCAATTAATTCTCATTTAAGGGCTTTATCTTGCTGCCACCTGCTCATCTTCCATCTCCCCCTTTCCCACTCCTCTCCAGGGCCTGGCAGCTTAGCATCCACAGAGGTCCCCAAACATTTACATAAATTCTGATCTAACGTCACACACTTCTGTCCCAGATAGAGGACAGCAGCGGGCCCTGAGGCAGAGCTTCTTGTTTCTCAGGTGTGAAAACCAAGCTTTTAACCTTTCACGGCCAATTATTCTTTAAAGGACTGTGGGGCAGCACAGGCTTCCCTAGACAGGTTGTACCCCCACCAACTTTACTGCCCAGAGTTGGGGGAGGGGAGAGGGAGTGGAGGGAATTCTGTTGCTTCGTACAATTCAGCCTAAGAACAGAAAATGTTCAGCTGGTCAGCTGGTCTTATAGAACTTGTAAAGAGGGAGTGTTAATATTTCAATCAATGACATTGCATCAGAAGTGATATTTATAGTAGTAATATTTTACCTCAGAATCCAGGGAATTGGCAACTGTAAGTGGCTTCTGTGTTACAGCCATTCAAACTAGGGGTAGCAAACTTAAATTACCGTGAGTAACAGCGTCTACTAGTTTGTCGTCAGCATATGGGAGATAGATTTGGCAGTACACCAATCACAGGTTCATATCTACTAGAATTAGAACACAAAATTGAGTATTAAAACAGCTTGCATATTTTTCTCTGTGGTAAAGAAGAGCCATATGCATGACTTTTATGGCAATGATACTTTACTGTGAATGCTGTAATTGCTTCAAGCATTTTGTAATGGGTTTTTTTACACATAAGGAATGCATATGCTCCTTTAGGTGTTATGCTTAGATCATGAACTCTACATAATAGGTGAGAATTGGACATGGGATGGCCCATTGGAGTTCACAGCTTGGGTCAGTATTATACTTGGATTAGAAATGCGCTTACTTGAATTGGAATGTACTGGTAAATTCATCATTCTGAGAGACTTTCATCTTACTTGCATGCCCCCAGGTAACCTGGGAAGTGATCATCAGTGTCACCAGCCAAGAGGATTTCCATGGAAGTGTGTATCTGTGACCAATCTCTGGTGACAATGTTGGTCTAATTGTTCTGAATATTCTCTACTGTCTATTGAAGACATTGACAAATCCTTTTGAAGACAGTTCTATCCATGATTATATAAATATTAGGTGATTTAATGTGGGTGTAGTCACATGGATTTGATGGGATCGATACTTACAAATGATTTCCTTTGCTAAGGAACCAAAGATGAGGTAACAATGTGGAGCAAACGATTTACCACGGCAATTAGGAAATGCGTTTTCACTTAAATGATAGAAGAAACCTGGAGATAGTAAAAACTGCAGATGCTGGAGTCAGAGATAACACAGTGTGGAGCTGGAGGAACACAGCAGGCCAGACAGCATCAGAGCAGCAGGAAAGTTGACGTTTCAGGTTGCGACCCTTCTTCAGAAACCTGGAATTTGCCTCACCTCACAGCCACTACCTGGACTTTGCCATGTTACATGCTCTCACAAGTCCCAGCATGTAATTGGATGACATTTAACCCTGATAAGTGTGAAGTGAATGAATGTCAGGACATTGGGTAGCTTAGAGGAACAGAGGGATCTTGTGAGTAATTATTCACAGATCCCTGAAGTTGGCAGCGCACGTGAGTAGGATAGCTAGGAATGCATACGAGACACTTATTCAAGAAGCACACAATTTATAGACAGTCAGTCAATGTGGTGTTTTATAAATTCCTAATTTAGAAATAAGATCAGTCTGACTCCAAACCAAAACACAAACAGATTCTAAACAAGGCCTCACACCTAACATGCATTGTCTGACCTAAAAGGCCACCTCTTCTCTACACTGATAAAACATTCAGTTCTCTCAGGACAGTGACTTGAAAGGAACTCAGGGATTTACATATACATATTAATCAATTAAAATCTTCTGATTAAAGATTTAGCTGCATCTTTGGTTTGTTTAGTACATCCTCATCAGTGGTGTGACCCTTTGATCTTTTACTTATAAATTCTGTGTCTGATACTTCCTCTCTCACTAACACCTGAAGAAGGAGTAAGACTCTGAAAGCTTGTGTTTTCAAATAAACCTGTTGGATTATAACAATTATAACAGACTATAAATTAGTGTACAAAATGATCAGAGGTATAGATAGAGTGGCAGCCAGAGACTTTTTCCTAGGATGGAGGTAGCTATTATGAGGGGGCATAGTTTTAAAGTGAGTGGAGGTAGATATAGGGGAGACGTCAGAGGTAGGTTCTTTACTCAGAGAGTGGTAGGGGCATGGAATGCAATGCCGGAGAGGGTAGTGGAGTTGGCCTCATTAGGGGCATTTAAGCAGCTATTAGATAGGCATATCGATGATAGTATAAGGTAGGGGTGGAGGATAGATAGATCTTAGGTTTAGGGTAAAAGTTGGGCACAACATCATGGGCTGAAGGGCCTGTACTGTGCTGTACTGTTCTATGTTCTATAACCTGGTGTCGTGGATTTCTGACCTTATCTGATATGAATCTATTCACTATTTGCCATTAAAATACAGGGTATGACTGCAGTGCTAAAATCTCCAAGCTGACCATTGTGTCTCCCACTCCAGCCTAATTGAGGCAGAGATTGAGGGAGGTTGCACACCGCCTGTTTGCATTGGATCATTAATGTTTGTAGAAACTTCTTGTGCACAAAATGATTGTCACATTTGCCAATATCACATTAATCACTATGCTCCAAAGTAGCCCTTGGAAACTTTTTTGACAGATGTGTCACAAGGATTGGTGCAGGGTCCACTGCTTTTCGTCATTTATATAAATTATTTGGATGTGAACATAGGAGGTATGGTTAGAAAGTTTGCAGATGACACCAAAATTGGAGGTGTAGTGGACAGCGAAGAAGCTTACCTTAGAGTACAATGGGATCTTTATCAGATGGGCCAAAGGGCCAAGGAGTTTAATCTAAATAAATGTGAAGTGCTGCATTTTGAAAAGGCAAATCAGGTCAGTTAACACTTTATGGTAAGGTCGTGGGGAGAGTTGCTGAACAAGAAGACTTTGGAGTGCAGGTTTGTGGTTCCTTGAAAGTGGAGTTGCAGTTAAACAAGATACTGAACAAGACATTTGGTACCCTTGCCTTTATTGGTCTGCGCATTGAGTGTAGGATTTGGGAGGTCATGTTGTGGCTGTATAGGACATTGGTTAGGCCACTTTTGGGATACTGTGTTCAATTCTGGTCTCCCTGTTATAGGAAGGATGTTGCAAAAATTGAAAGGGTTCAGACTTGCAAGGATGTTTCCAGGGTTGGAGGATTTGAGCCATAGGGAGAGGCTGAATTAGCTGGGGCTGTTTTCCCTGGATCTTCGGAGACTGAGGGGTGACCTTATAGAGGTTCATAAAATCCTGAGGGGCATGGATACGGTGAATAGCCAAGGTCTTTTTCCCAAGGAGGGGGAGTCCAAAACTAGAGGGGATAGGTTTAAGGTGAGAGGGGAAAGATTTAAAAGGGACCTAAGGAGCAACTGTTTCATGCAGAGGGTGGTGCATTACTGGAATGAGCTGCCAGAGGAAGTGGTGGAGGCTGGTACAATTACAACATTTAAAAGGCTTCTATATGGGTACATGAATAGGAAGGGTTTAAAGGGATTTGGGCCAAATGCTGGCAAAGGGCCTAGATTAATTTAGGATATCTAGTCAGCATGGACAAGTTGGACCGAAGGGTCTGTTTCCGTGCAATAGAGTTCTATGACTGTATGTGATAAGATCTTATGTAACTGCTAATGCATTCTTGTTTGTGATCAGAAACATTTTAGAAAAGCAAAATGCAAAAAATATTCAAAGCCGTATCATTAGTTTCAGTGTATCTGAGCTAACTCGGAAGCAAGGGTGTGAGTCTCCCAGATGGCTACCACACAACTTCACATAACCTTGAGGACAGACAAAATATTTGGAACTTTTATTACACCAACACAAGAGCTGATCAAAAAAAAAGGTATCAAAATGTTGAGTCTACACTGATTACAGGCTTAATACAGGCTTAAAATAGTTTTAAAAATAATTGCAAAGAAATATTTTCAGAAGATAAAATGGAAGCATTGCATTTTTCCAATTATTATGAAATATGTTCTTCAGACTCAGTGTAGAAAGTCAGAAGCTGTACACTAGGTATATGCTTATAATCCAGACACCACAATAAAATTGCAGTGTTTTGAAAAACAAGATCAAAGTATTACTTTCTTTCCCTTTGCACTTTCTCCTTCATTTTTGCTTTATATTCTTCTCTCCGTTCTCTCTAAGACTCATTTGGTAGGCTCAGTTCTGCCATTCTGTCGAAAACATTATTTTATTTTTAAGAAACACATTTTTTGGTTATTCAGTAGTAAATAGGACAGTTTATATTGATTGTTAACAGAGTTCCTGCATTTCAGAAGATTGCTTTATCAAAATACTTTGTGTTATATTACGTGCTTGTATAAGTTCTTCTGTCAAAAATTGAAGCACTTTCATTAAATTAAAATTCACAACTTGCATTATGTTATCACATGACTCCATTTCCCAAAAGGATTTAAGGAAATTGTGTAGATTTTGTGTTTAATGCACCTCTTTAGATTAACAAAGTATTTTAATGACTGTTTATTTTAAATGACCGTAATGTTAATTTTGGAGGGTTTACGGGATTAGAACAAGATGCTACCTGTTACCAAAAACAAAACCCTATAAAAAGCTAATGTGCACAAACACACACACAGACAAATAGCAGGTATGCTGCCTTCCCAATACAGAAAACATCACGTTCTAACCAATGCAGGGAAGGATTCATCAACATGCGATGCTCTGCTATTAAAATTACCTTATTACTTAACCTCTTGTGACTCATTACTCCTTAGTCCTCTAAAATTTTTGCATGAGCTTTGTGCATCCATCATATTTGAACAATGACTATTTTTACAGGTGATGGGATGGAAAGCCACACAATCAAATTTGTCAGTGACACAAAGTTAAGTAGTATCTTTATTAACATCAATAGAAGCAATTCAAAGATTGAGAAATAAGAAGGTTTCTGGAGCAGATGGAAGCATTGCTGAAATTCTGAAAAACAGCAGAGATACACTGTTGGCATGGTGGCACAAACTCCATGTTCCTCATCGAGGAAGAAAGAGCATATATTGGGGGATCTCAGGAATGTTGTGATCCTGATTATGCTCAGGCTGGAAGACAGGTCCTATTGCAGCAATTACAGAGGAATCTCCCTGCTGTCTGCCACAGGAAGATAACTGCAAGTTCTTCTTTAACTGCCTCCTCCCACAGGGTCACAGTGTGGTTTTCACCCATCTATAGGCCCACAGATATGATTTTCACTGCGTGACAAATTAAAGAAACAGCACCAACTGCTGTACACGACAATTTTTAATCCTCACGCTTTTGAACTCTGTCAGCTGTGAAGTCTGATAAAGTAGCTTCCTCAAATTGAATTGCCCTCAGAAATATATCACCACCCTCCGCCTACTCCGTTTTGACGTGCAAGCTGTGATCTTTATTAACAGAGCCACCACAGACCCTATCTCAGTAAAAGCCGGCCTCAAAAAAGGCTGTGTCACTGTTCCATTCTCCACTTTCCTCCCTGCTACACTACACCTCACTTCCAGCTAATTACTCATATGCAATAGTAGAAATATTGCATAATCTAACGATTTGTTAATCAGATGGATTGGTGTGTACTGCAGTGACGGTAGAGAGTTACCACACTTGTATTAGTGATGACTGTGTGACAGACAATTTGGAGCCAGAGCTTAATTGTTTTACAAACAGTATAGGGACAGCTTTAAAAATTCTGGTGTAAAGCAACAAAAGGCTACAAAATAACTTGGATTCTGTAATTGTTCTAGAAAGAGCCACAGTGTCAAATCTGCTGAGGTGATTTATCCATAGATTGTTTTAACACCTGGTATTTGATCTACATTGCTGCAGGTGATTGCCTGACCTTTCACATAGGTGCTATACCAAGATGATTCAGTCATGTGATCAAGATTCAATTACAGTGTATGCCCAGTAATGTGCACAGTTTTTTTTTAATCTGTATATACATATTCACACACATGTATATACATGATACAGACCTTCAACCGACTCTAGGTTCAGTTGAAAAATAACCGTTATTATATATGTAAATGCATGAGATGTATAAAATTAGGAGGGGCATAGGTAGGGAAGACAGGAAGAAACTTTTCCCCTTGATGGAGGAATCAACGACGGGGGCGTCGATTTAGGGAAAGGGGCAGAAGGTCTAAAGATGTGAGTAAAAACTTTTCACCCTGAGGGTTGTGGGAATGTGGAACTCCCTGTCTGTAAAGGCAGAAGCCCTCATAACATTTAAGAGGTATTTTAATGTGCACTTGTCACACCAAGGCATACAAGGCTATAAGCCTATGTCTGGAAAATGGAATTAGAATAGTTGGTTGATTTTGACCTTTGCAGACGCAATGGGCTGAAGGGACTTTTTTTGTGCTGTAGATCTCTATGATTCTATGATAAAATATCTTAACTTGTTCCGTCCTTCTTCTAATCATGCTCTTGCTATGTATTCATGATGTAACCCTTCTCACGGTGAGTGATTAGTCTTTAGCGAAGGATTTGTCTTTATTCCATTATGGCCCAGCTTAATAAATTTCAAGCTTCACATGATGCTGGGCTTTTCGTCTGTGGCCTTTGACTCCATACATTCTTCTTTGGCCAGCTCTCCTCTCCCCTGTTAAACAATCCTTGTGATCTGCCTCCACTTGGACCCCTCATTCTAGTCTTTTACTCTTTTGTGATCCTCTTATTGAGAAATGCCAATGTGATATTGGCCAATTCAGGGCAGCATGGTGGTTCAGTGGTTAGCCCTGCTGCCTCACAGCACCAGGGACCTGGGTTTGATTCCTGCCTTGGGTGACTGTCAGTGTGGAGTTTGCACCTTCTCCC